AAAAACGGTACAAATTTCAAAGTGTACGAGCATTTTGAAAATAAAACCAAGAAAACTAGATAGAATAGCTAGAACACCATTCACATATAAAAAAAAGTTTCCATATAAGTACTTGCTTTCGATCGTTTTATTTGTATGGCTGCTATATATAACAGTATGATCTGAACAATTTAATCGACTGTTATAGTATATGTAGATTTGGATAATAATCCGTGCCAAATTTCGTGAAGAAATAAAAAAGTTTCTCTTGGAAGAACTTTATTCCGATTGTTCAGTTTATGTGCCAGCTATTTGTTATAGTCGTCCAATTTGGAAAATGCGGATATCTTAGTAATACTTTGAATAATAATCCGTGCCAAATTTAGTAAAGATATGTTGTCAAATAAAAAATTTTCCACACCAGAACTTAAATTTCATCGTTCAGTTTGTAAGGCAGCTATATGCAATAGTGGTCCGATATCGAATGAGTAGCTTGTTGGCGAGAAGAGGAAATGTGAAAATTTTCAGATTAATATTTCAAAAACTGATGGACTAATTGGCGTATATACAACAGACGAACGCAGGGACGTTTCCTTCTGGGTGATGCAAACTTGGAGGCACACAATGGTATATACATATATATATATATATATCGTGTGCAGGGCATAATGAAATAAAAGTAATGAAAACACAGGTTCCAAAGTATGCGAGTATTTGGAAACGAAAAATAAAAATTGTGTATGGAATGAAGGGTTAAGTGCAGGCGCATTACACTAGCAATTTATAAGTTGTAAAAGTATAATTGCAAAATTTTATTATACAAACATTGCGCAAGTATTAAATATTCGCTAATGATAAAAGTGTGAATCACGGCTAGCTAGTTTCATAAATGTATTAGGAGTCTAGTCTGCTGAAAAACACCAAACTTTAACCATCTTTTTTGGTGCAATTTTTGATTGAATAAAAGTGAACAGTGAACCATTATAAAAAAAAATTGTAATAAAAAGCAAAAATGAGGCGCAGACTATCAGCTAATTCTACTGTGAAGTTACAGTTCAAAATTTCAATAAAGTACCTGCGATAATCTCCGAGTATTATTTTTGAAAAGTGCAGTGCAACTGGTTTAAAGTTTTATGTACTGAGGCAATTAATCTGAACGCTTCGACACTATAGCCAAGTGGACAGGGAATATAGTTCTTTTTTCACTATTTTACCAACTGAACGTCTTCAGTATTCTAATGTTTACTATAGGCGCAAAAAATGTATGTTTTGAAAATCCTAGCTTAACCTGGCTATGAAGCATAATATCCGAATAATATGCTTCAAAGACACTAAGAAAACATTCGCCGCTTCATTTTGTTGAGATATTCCACATATCGGCGGTAAAAAGTCAAGCATATGGAAAATAGCGTTATTGTCATGACTTAATTAGTGAGAGGAGTTGATCATTTATGGTAGAGCGGGATTTCAAAGATCATATCAGTCTTCGAAATGTTTGTTATTTTTGATATATGCCCCTATAACGGTATCTATGGTTGTTACAAAAGCTGCTTTCAAATATTATGAACACTATATAGATAGGTGCGCTGTGGATAAAAAATAGAAATTTTTAAACAATTTTTTCTCATAAAAAATGAAATATTCAATTAGAATTTTTATTGTTACCAATATTTACGAAGAAATTCTAAAAAAAAAAATGTTAAACTCGGCCATTGTGACATTTCCGGTGACCATCTAAGTGAAAAAATACGTGTTTTAGTTAAAACCTTAATATAGAACTTGGACGAAAGAAAAAAATTGAAAATTGGATTTTTGGCAGCCATTTTTACAAAAACAAAATGAAAATTTCGCAACATTTTATTTTACAAATAGTTGTAATCGAAAAAAAGTCTTTAAGAATCTCGAGAAATCTTGCCAACCGACTTCAAAAACATAGTTTCGAGAAAAACGCATTTAAAGACGGCGCGCTTAGCCTAGCTAGCTTCGAGCGCACAAGTTCTCAAGGCTGTATCTTCGAAACTATTACTCGAATCAAAATTTAGGACAATGTTCTAGAGCTGTTGTAGAATTTAATAAGACAATAAACAATTCGATTTTTTGATACACTTAAACCCATGTAACCCTTTAAGGGAAGCAAAACATATCAACTTTTTAATTTTACTGAAAAAGTATATTCCTAGGAATAGTAAATTTTATCGACGCTTCCCATCGTTTCTTAATTATATTTAATGTCTCTAAAATGTAGTTTATTTCTCCAGTTGCGGGATTTTACTCCACCAGTTCAATAAATTTATCACCTTTCTATGGATTTTTACCTAATAACTGATTAAAATGTTTAAAAATTATAAATCAAATAGTTTCTTTTATCGATTTCTCATTTTCTATTAATATGTTTCTCTAATAAATTCATTAATGTTTAACTAAAAATGCTTGTTAGCAGTTGAAAACTTTTGATACTCTAGTCAACCGCATTGTCACAGAGTTGAAAACCATATATCAAAAAAAGTTATAGTTTGACAGAACATCAACCAACATATTTTTTGACCGGTTGTGTTGAAAACCATAAAACCGAAATTCAAAACTTCAACCAAAATGTAGTTGGGTTGTGACCCGTAATATGCGTCTTAAATTAATTAGAACCCGATTAAATTCAATATTGCGCAGAACTCTATAGAAAGGCACTCTTGCTATGGCCAAAAATGTTTTATAAAATTAAATATTTGGAATTCGTATTTACGCGTTAGCGATAAAGTTATTACAGTAACTGATTCTTAAATATAACATTATTAATCCCACGTTTCTAGCCGGTCGTTTCAGATTTTTCAACTCCATAAATTTTATCAAAGAAATATATTGCAACCAACAATAAAAGTCTACACATATTTATAAAAACCTATACACATGCCTGGTTCAGTATCTTAAATGTTGGTTTAGGTAGAACGAAAATTAGGTTAATTAATTAGGTTTTTCCAAAAACCATTCTAAGCTAAACTTTAATAACGAACCTAAGCAAAATCCTAATAACATTCCTCGATCAATATTACACTATCAAGTAACAGGTTTTTCAAAAGGGGCGCTACAAACATTTCTCTTCAGTCTTCTTGTCATTTTATTATGGAAAGATATACGATCCAACAGCGAGTCGAAATTATTAATATTTTCTACCGAAATTCGGCCCAATTTATGTTCGTCATAATCGTCCTGCCAGATCAACAATTGAGCGTCTAGTGGAAAAATTTTAGTTCACAGGCATAGTTCAAAATGCCCGTAGTGACGAGAATATTGCTGCCACTAGCGCATCAATTGGGGTAGACCGAAATCAGTCTCTCACACATGATTGGCTGAGCAACAACTTGAAAATTATCTGGACTTTCAGCGATGAGGCTCATGTCTGGCTGAATGGCTTCGTCAATAAGTAAAATATGCGTTATTGGTCTGGCAGCAATGCTCACGTACTCCATGAGTCACCATTACATCCCGAAAAATTACGGTTTATGGGCCGTACTTCTTCCGTGATGATCAAGACCGACACGTTACTCTAAATGGGAATCGCTACCACTCAATAATAACCTATCATTTTTGGCCCGAATTGGATGATATAGACTTGGACCATATGTGGTTTCAAAAGGACGGTGCCACAAGTCACACAGAAAATGTTAAAATCGATTTATTGAAAACCAAGTTTGAAAAACGTGTGAATTGGCTGCCTTGGTTGTGACTTTCATTTAGAATAAACTGAAAGACCTCAAGTTTTTTTAAACATATAAGTTTTGCTTGGAGGTATATTGCTCATTAAATGAAAACTCCTTTCAAGAACTACTGATTGATCCCTATATATTGAAGGTCAATATCAGTAAATGGATTTTATTTCTGCAGAGTCGCGATCTCAATAAAGAAATAAGAATAATTGAAGGAAAACTCACGGGTTTTGTAAATATTTTATAATGAGGTAATGAACAATATTAAATAAAAAACTACGAAACAAAATATTACTCGTATGTGAATTAGATGAGGTTACGTTAGGTTATTGGCATACCTATAAAATTGTTGAAATATGTACATCTATATTTAAAACTAAAACAAAGTTGTCTGTGTCGCAAACAATTAATGTTTAAAAAAAATAAATTACTAAAGCATCGAACGCTTCTTAACAGACAGCTCAAAGTCCATTAGACAGCATGCGATGTCAATTGAAACATTATACATAACTATTGTAGTTGGTTTTGTGGACTTTCTCGAGAAGAAACGTCACATATGTATGTAGCACTTTAGTCTTTACAAGTTCATAATTAAAAGTACAAGTGTTCCATATGTATAATTATATATTTCAATTAACTTCAAGGGTGGTTGCTAAGCATCATTGACTACATCAACAGTTCAGGTTGTAATGAACACGTCGAGTATAAATAATGGGTGCCTGGCAACGTGTTACACCTCGTGATAAGTACTAACGTAAAGATATACACACATATGTAACTAAGTGTGTATAATAGTTATTCTAAGTGAAGCGTAAAACAGTTGTTTATGCTAATTATAATAAAGCCTGAAGCAAGTATTATAAAGTCTATTACCATTATTTAACTGTTATGCGAGACGTCTGAGTGTGCATATGATGTGAATTATTTCATTTTAAAGCAATGCTGAGCAAATTTTAGATAAGAACTAAGCAGAGGAATAACTGGAAATATACTATTATTAACTTATTAAAGTTCAAGAAAGATCATATCAGCACTATCACTAGCAAAACATTTGTCATAGAAAAGAACCGTTAGTAATCACTTGCTACTAGGGACTATCAGATATATGCCCCGTTTCCGGCTGGTCATCATCGAAGTGTGTGGACTGCTAAAGTTGGGCACTCATGGGCACTTGAATTCAAAAGAAACTCCCAACTAAGGTCCCGGCTGGTTACCATCGAAATGTGTAGACTCTCATTATACAGATCGAACTCAATTCCTTTACTAGTGACAAAAACTGGCTAGTATAAGTTCGAATTACAAGCTTGGTCGTGGGGAGCATCTCATAGTGACCGATACCCAGTCAATTCCACTAAACACATAGTAAAACTTTCCTGGCCACCGTTAGCGACAGTTCATCGCGATTCGATCACAACCGTTTTCGCTTGACGTTATCGTGAGTGATCAGCTTTTCGACATCTGGTTCAGAAATGCATCGATTTTGTTGCGATCCAGCATCTATTCACAGACAGAAATTCGGTCCAAGTGTTTTTTTTTTGTTTTTTTTGCGTTAACTCATGTGGTACCCATATTATTCGTCGAGTTTCGTTTTGTAGTCCAACCTTATTTAGATGGTTCCGCCTTATTATGGCATGTTTAGCTCCTGCTCAATCGAAACCGTGCTTACATAACGGTCGAACCTAAAGATTTTATTTTCAGTTTTAGTACGAAACGCCTTCCTTAAAAATTTTCCACAATCTAACCCTATTAGACGGGTTTTTCGACGCAACTACTATTTAAATTTAAGTCCGAGCTTTAGGCAGGCCACTCGGAGACACTTGATGTAGTTCATTGCATGTCAGTCATTGACCATTCTGTATAAGTATTTTGGGACGAAACGCCATATTGTATAACTTATCCGCACTTATATAACGCGGGATACAGATTACTAACATAAAGCCATCTAATGGAAAAATAATAGATTCCTTTTTGCTAGACCTTATATATTATATAATTCGGATAAGCGAAGATCGAGTTTTAATAAGCTTCTGAAAACATTTCCCCTTGATTTGAAAGAGGTTAGCTCTGCTTTTAACATCTTACAGCTCTATTGACGGCATATTGCCAAAAATAGTACCGATCTTTGGAGGAAATATTTCTATCGCACTGATTTCGAACTACAAAGTGGGTATCGTGTCGCTATCGTTGTAACGGTCATACATCTTGTCGTTCCTATTATATATTCAGAAGATTGCATGAAATCATTATAAAAAAGTTTTTGATCGTCGACTTTTCTTCTAAATTGCAAGCTTATTTGATGACAAAAGGCACTTCGACCATGCCCTACCAAACCCATATGCCCCTATTCATTATCTAATCTAAGAATGCGAACCAACGGCATAATTGTTCTGGCCAATAATAATGATTTTTCCAGCTGGAGAAACAAGGCGTTCAATTCCAATATTGCAATATTGCTATATTGCATCTCAATAAACAGACATTGTAACGCCTTGAAAACAATTACCATGTTTTACTACATCGAATATGCCCGTACGATACACCACCAACTTTATTTAGATATGCCTAATACTCGTACTCCGCTTACTTCTATGGAATACTGTGCAACCAATCTGACTAAACCATTAAAAAATAAATATAAATTTATAATCACTTAAAAATGTTCACTGAGCACTTAAAGAGAAGAGGAGCATTTCGAAATAATAAAATTTTATGAAAATATCTTAGCATTTCTATTTATTTGTTCATTTACAGACACTCAAATATGCGGAATATTCGCAATTTCACTTTTCAATTGCGGATTATTGCGTTTTTGTGGGGATGTTGTTGCTATCCACGGGTACGGGTATCTATTTCGGTTATATAAGGTATATAAGATATAACGTCTATTGTAGAATGTAAATTTCTAAACCAAAAGGAATGTCGGTCTATTTTAGAAAGAATATAAAACCAGTTAAACCAACTACTAATTTAGAGATGAATAAACACAAAGAACCGGATTTTGGTTCCAAAGCAATGAGTGAATACTTGTTGGGCTCTAGGCGGCTGAAAGTGTTTCCAGTAGCAATGAGTCTAGTTGCCAGGTAAGTATTGTTTTTGGAAAGTGATTGGGATAAATATTATATAAATATATTGGTAAATTTAAGCTATATTAACCTTAAAAGTGAACTTTTCCCTCTCTTCCTTCAACTCTTCCATGCGCATTTCCAGTTACATTTCGGGCGTAACTATGCTGGGCGTACCATCGGAAATCTACAGCTACGGTACTCAATATTGGTTGATCATTGTTTCGGTTATTTTAATGGCATTCGTGGTGTCAAGAGTTTATTTGCCTGTATTCACGGCTTTAAACGTTGGATCTTCTTATGAGGTATGTATGTTTATTACATAATTATAATTTTAAGTGTCATCGTAGTTGAATTAAAGACTCGTACTCAGAAGGTTTGAGTTTAAAAAAATGTAAAATTAATAGATAGCTGAGGTCTTTTCGATCAAGCACGTTTTCAGCCGTTATATTTTCGTATGGATGTATTTTTGATATTTTAAAGTTATTACAGAGATAGAGACTATCTCCTTAATTTAATAAAGTAAAATAACCTAAAATACATGAAATGTTTAGATAAATGTTTAGTTGTTTTTTTTATCACTACAATACAGAACTTAGTAAGGATTATATATCATGGCTGATTCTTAATGCCTGATAACAGTTTTATAATCATAATATCATAACTACGGATATAAAAAAATGCTGTGGCGCTAATAAAAAAACGAAGCAATAATACTCCTCACAAATACTAAAGATTCCTTGCAAGAATTTTATTATGATCGTTCAGTTAGTAGTGCGCTAATTATCTATAGTCATTGAATGTTGCAGCACAAATTTTCAATTATCTTTTGTTTTCTAAAATATTACAAAACATTGTTAACCCTTCCAGTACAAAAAGTCTAATATTTCGTTATTTTTGCAATAATTTTGAAAAATGGAAACAATAATAAAATGAAGCTGGGCTTTTATTTTTGCCCATTCTTTAGAAAACTCTCAAAAACACATATTTAGGTAAATTAGTAAGACAATACGTTTTCAACTTTCTTAATTTTTTTTAAGTAGATCATTGCAATGACGACTTTTGTTACACTGGCTTAATTATGTGAGCACACGCGGCTAGAACAACTTTGAAACAATTAAAATTTTTTCACCAACCGCATTAATTATTTCTCTAAATATATTCTTAACCATTTCAACGCAGATAGCGGAACCCTTTTTAATACCATTGTACAAATGAAAAACTATTTCGATGACTTTATAATCTGAAACGTGATTGTGTACTGGCTTAATTATATGAACACTATGCATAATTCTAAAACTCTTCATTTATTCTTCAAAATCTATGTTATCCCACTCAAAGTAATCTCCCTTGGCTCCAATATATTTATGTCAACATTTTTTCCAATCCTCGAAACAGTTGTTAAAGTCAATATCCGGAATAGCCTTCAATACACGTAAGGATTCACGTTTAATGTCTTCAATTGAGTCCAAATGGTTTTCCTGGAAAGGTCGTTTGAGTTTGGTGAATTGCCAGAAGTCACACGTAGGTAAATCAGGCGAATACGGTGGTTGCGTCACGATATTGGTTGAAAATTTGGCGAAAAACTCACGAAGAATCAATACAGTATGCGACGGTGCATTATCATGGTGCAAAAAAACAAGAACTTTTGGCCCATAACTCCGTCCTCTGTTTAAGAATAGGTTCGCACAAGCGGGGAATAACATACAATTTGTGTTCCTTGTTGACGGTTTGGCCGGTCGGAAGGAATGCGGAGTGCACCATACCTCGATAATCGAAGAGAAAAGTTAATATAACCTTGATTTTTAACCCGCTTTGACATGGTTTTTTGGGCTTCGACACACCTTAGTTACGATATTCGGCTAACTGATCTTCTGTTTCCGGGTCGTAAGCATAGATCCAAGACTCATTGGCAGTTAAAATACGTTTCAGCACATCCTGATAGTCGAGAAGCATTGTTTCACATATGTTAACGAGACGCTGTTTTCGAAAGAATTTAACGATTTTTGAAACAATCGTGCTTTCACTTTTCTTAGGCCCAAAAGATCTTTGAAAACGGTTTTCGCTGATCATTCCGATATTTCAACGATCTCTGACTGTTAATCGTGCTTTCCCCGATTCTTTCTTTCTCGCGACAAAGACATTTTTTTTTACATTTTGAACCAGAAATTTTATTCCACACACAAAATTTAATAGCCCTTCTTTGCTGAAGAAAAAAAAAAAATATTTTGACGAATTGGTTTTCGTGGGAAATTGAAATAAATGAGTCTTCCTATTTCTTTGCTCTCAGTAGTATACCATATTAACTTAAAGAGGTTGAGGCACAATCTAAACGACAACTTCTAAAATTATTACAGACCAGCTGAACTTCTTTGATATAGTGTTTTATTTCTTGGCTCATAAATATCCTTGATTTAATTGTTTGTTATTGCAAATTAAATAAAAATAAAAATCTATATAAAAGACGTTCGCAGCAACAGCACACAACAACTGTTTTATATCACTAATTTCTCTATTAGATGAGAGGTGACGTTGTTATCGATAGTTAATAAAAGTGTTTTTCTTCATAGCGTGTGGTGCGGACTTTGGCCCTCCCAATTGAATGTGTCATTTTGACTTAATCTTTCTTAAATTTTTTAAAATATTTGAATTTCTATTGGATTCTTTCCTGTCGAAACCTTTCCTGCAGTTAACAGTTAAACAAATTGTAGAAATGACGCATAAAAAAAGGTCCTGTACGATGTTCACGTATGCGGCCGCAATTTTGATCTAAAATTAATCTTTAGGAAAGCCGCTATGGCTTTTTTTATTTAGAAATTTGACAAAATGGCAGCGGTTTGAACAAAAAATATCGAATATGGTAAGTTTTTTCACAGTTTCTCATAGAAAAAATTACGAAGATTTCAAAAAAAAAAAAAACCTTCTATAGCGCGATAGAGAATGGCGTTAAAAATGTCATATTGGAACTAGATAGCTTCAAAACTCTTCCTTTTAGAGTGGAAACCCTTAAAAACACCATTCTGAAAAAAACGCATTTAAAGGTGGGAGTCGATCCGTTCTACTAATCTACTTTTCGAAAATTTCACACTGAGACGATGCCTTCACTTCTTATATTCGACTTAAGTTTTACTAATTATTTAATTTAGGATATCCCTGATGTATGTATCTGTTGTACCTGCCTGTTTTTACTTTATACTTCCGTGTTTTTCGAATCTATAAATTTTTTTCTAATTTATATGAATACGCGACGTTTTGAAATTCTAAAAGTGAATTCTTCGATTTTTATTATGTATGAATTTATTGAACAAAGAAGTGCGATAATGCACCATCTCATACTGCATTTGTTGTTATTCTTGACCATTTCGACATATTTTCAAATAATATCGTGCCGCAACCACCGCATTTGCCTGATTTACCTGCGTGTAACTTCTGACTATTCGCCAAATTCACATGACCACTCCGAAGACACCGTTTTGACTCAATTGAGGTTATAAAACTTGAATCGGAGAAGGCTCTGATGGCAATTATGACGGAGGATTTTAAGTGATGATGACTGGAAAATTCGTTGGCATAAGTATATTGCAGCGGGAAGGGAATTACTTTGAAAGAGATAAAATGAACAAAATTCATCTTTCAATTGGATCACAGTAGTATAATATCTAATGCTTGATTAAGGATAGAGCAGTCTAGTTAGTGAATAACAGTGAACCTTAACTTCCCATCTTTTTATAAACTATAAGCAAAATTTTATAATTATAGAAAACACTTTTCGCCATATTTTCCTTGAGAAATAATCTCTAAAAATTAAAATTCTTTCACCTTTCCATTCTTTAGAAATTAGATCAACTATAAGAAATAGTTTGTCTTTGTTTGAGGCACAAAAGAGTTAGAATTGTGTTTTGTTCAATAACTTTTTGAAAAAATTACAAAAGTGTCTACTGAGAACGCAAGTATTTAAAAAAGATAAAATATTTAGAAAGCACGCGTGCCAGAATAAATTAAGAAAATCATGATGCTAGGTTTGGGGAACCAGCAGTGGTTTCAACGATCTCATATGGATCTTCTTCATAAATTTTGATCGATTGTCGATAGATTTAAGATAGAGTATTTGATGGTGACAGTTTTATCTGTAAATTCTATTTTTCCAAATTGAAAATCATCGGCTTCTACACTACGTCATTTTTTCTCGTTTTGAGCCAATAAGGAATATAAAATAAATTCGCTAAATGAATAAAGGAAAATTGCAATCGAACCATATAACAAAAAAATAGTTACAGAAACCAAAAAAGTTAACTGTAAACTTGGAACGTCATAAAAAATTGTATTAACATTTTCTAACAATTTTAAATTTTCCTTTTTCTTACAGTACTTGGAAATGCGTTTCAGTTCCAGTGTACGCAGTATAGCTTCATTTATGTTTGTGATGGATGAGGTAAGTAGTGTAGATATGTCACTTACAAAGTGTAGGGATCAAAACAGTTATTTATGTACATAAATGTCATTTGTAAACAAGCCCGTTATGTACGAGTAGTAAGGTTAGTTACAGCATTTTTCAGTAATTAAGTTAGTAAATAATCGCTTTTTTGCGCTTGATAACAAATTATAGGTAATCGTTACTATTTTCTTTACAGATATTTTTCTTGCCAATAATTTTGTATGTGCCGGCAATAGCGTTTAATCAAGGTAAATAAGAATTGCGAAACGTTGAATACGAAATTTTTTCGGTATAAATTTCTCGTAATGCTTTTATAGGAACTACAAATACCGTGCTCGCTAATTATAGTTTTTCTTTGTAATTTTGTATTTTACAGTTACAGGCGTCAATATATATGTCATAAGTGGGATCATTTGTGTAGTTTGCGTGATCTATACATTGATTGTAAGTACAACTATTTTGTAATAAACTTTTAATTGGTCTACTGAAAATAAATTAAGTTATAAAATCAGTTGTTGTAAAAATGGAATTTTTTTAATAAAGTCAAGAATTCAATGCTGTAATTTTTCAACAAAGTTGACAGTTGAGCAGCTGGACGGCTGTCATATTTTAACAGTGATGTAAGCGGAGGAATGTTCTTAAAAATTACATTTTAGTGTTTATATTTTTGGAGTTTGTTAAAATAGTGCTTTAAAAATAAAATTATAAAATTATTTTTCACTTACCGCTGATGATTTGTTCAATCATTTGCCTTATAGCTGATGTTTAACACTTTTTGTATATTAATAAATTTGGATAATAATTCTAAATTTTGTTGTCATTCACTTATGCCATATCTGAAAACAAAAAATTTTCATTAATTAAAATTTGAAAAAAAAAATTTTTTAATTTAAAAAAAAATACATATGTAGCTATAAATAAATGGACAGATAACTATATTTTATATAAAATTATCTGAAATAAACAACTTTGAATCGACAAGCCATTATATTGAAAATAATTAATAATAATAATAAAATAATTTTTTTTTTATATTTATTTCCACTTTTAATAGGTGTTATTACTATTGTTGTTACTTTACTGTATTTTAAAATATTTTTCTCCTTTTTAGGGTGGCATAAAAGCCGTAGTTCATACAGATGCCTGGCAAACATTGGTCATGTTTGTTGCGTTGGTGGTTGTAGTTATACTGGGCACGATAGCTGCAGGCGGACCTGGACCAGTATTTAAGCACGCCTCTGAAGGTGGGCGCCTCATTTTCTTTAAGTAAGTTCAACTCAGTTTTTTTTATGATTGCTTACGCTAATTTGTGGTATTAGGTAATAAATATTAAATAAAGGACAGGTTAAGAAGCACAAAGTTCGGACAGACAGAACATTAAAATTTGTTGTTTTCCAGAAATCTAAAGAATCGGAAAACATAATAACTTGGATCTTTTTTTTATTGCTGGAATTTAACGTCTGACATTCGTACGAAGTTCGTCAATAGTGGCTGGTTTGTTGGCATAGACCGTGTACTTGACGTAGCCCCACAGGAAATAGTCTAACGGCGTCAAATCGCACGACCGAGCGGTCAATTGACTGAGGCATTTCGAAAGATAACACTTTATTCAAACTTGGTTTTCAATAAATCCGTCCTGTTGGAACCACATATTGCCCAAGTCCATATACATACATACATATACATATATAATATAAAATATTCGATTTCCTTTGAGCGATAGCGATTTCCATTCACAGTTACGTGCCGGTCTTGATAATCACGAAAGAAGTACGGTCCAATACCGGCGCCGGCCGTTTTGAAGTTGTCGCTCAGCCCAATTCTCGAACATACGACGATTATGGTGGTCAAGCGGTTCAGTTCTTGCGTCAATTTGATCTTGTCAGGGTGTAGTCCAAGATCTTTTCGCAACATTCGCACAACGACCTCTCAAAGATGTCCAACTTGAGAACGACGTGTAAGAGACTGATTTGGGTCTTCCTTAATTCATACGTTAGCAGCAACAATACTCGTACTCTTGAAACTACGGGAACTTCTTTGGCTTACTGGTACGCGAACATTTTGTACTGTGCTTGTGGATTCAAATTTTTCCACTAGACGCTCAATTGTTGATATGACAGGGCGATTATGACGACCATAAATTGAGCACAGTGTACTTAAAGTTGAGGCCACTAAGTACGAATTTCGGTAGTAAATTTCAATAATTTCGAATCGTTGTTGGATCGTATATCTTTACATGATGAAATGATTTGCCATTACTGAAGAGAAATGTCAAAAGAGCGGGAAAATATGTAGCGCGGTTTGCTGTGAGCCGAAAAGAAAATTTTCATATATTCAAAAATTATTATATGCGATATTTAAGCCGTTTTCCGAAAATGTTTGCTAAATATCAACAGTACTTGGCTACTTTTTCATTCGGTTTAAACTCAATTTTTTACTACCCCAAGCTATATGAAGTGTCCTATAATGTTATATGGATTTTTATAAAAAAAAGTTTTGTCAAAAATTCATATGAATGTGAATGTTCACCATTTTCTCCTCTTTTTCACAGTATTACCCCATCACTGTATGAGCGACAATCATTTTGGGCCGTCTTGATCGGCGGTTTCACCTACTGGACTGCCTTCAATAGCGTCAATCAGACCATGGTTCAGCGCTACATGTCTTTGCCGACATTGAAGAGAAGTCAACACTCGATTGTCATCTTTACGCTGGGCGTTGTGCTTTTCTTATCAGTTTGCTGCTTTGCCGGTTTGTTGGTTTTCGATTTCTATAGAAATTGCGATCCGCTAAATGCTGGACTCATATCGGTAAATTACAAGCACAGTACACACGTAGTACCTGCATATATACTAACAAACCAGTAGTTGATTTTGTTTTTGTCCACAGAACGACGATCAGTTACTACCCATCTATGTTATGCAAACTGTTGGCCATCTACAAGGCATACCGGGTCTCTTTATCGCTGGCGTTTTTGGCGCCGCGTTAAGCTCACTCTCGGTCGTACTCAATGCAACGGCTTTGGTATTCCTACAGGATATCGTGCGTGGCAGTTTTAAGATACAACTAAGTGAACGTGCAACAAATATTTTGGTGAAAAGTGTTATCGTTGTGCTGGGCACAGTAGCAATGGCATTGATATTCGTGCTAGAGAAGTTAAGTGGTATTTTGAGCGTTGCCACCTCGGTCACCGCCATTGCGGGTGGCACAACTTTTGGTATGTTCACGCTTGGCATGTTGGTGCCATGGAGTAATACGAAGGGTGCTTTGGCCGGTGCTGCGGCGGGTGCACTGATGTCTGGTTGGGTGTCATTTGGATCACAGGCGGCGATAGGTGCCGGTCGTATTGGTTCACATAAATTGAATGTTTCCGTAGCGGACTGTTTGGCAAATTACACAATACCAGAAGCGGATTATGGCAATGAAGCGGACGTATTTCCTTTATATCGTCTATCGTTTCATTGGATAACCGTGATTGGCGTTCTATCAACGTTAATAGTTGGTACTGTGGTGTCCTTTCTAACCGGACCGACGGTGTTGAAGAAGTTAGATGCAGAGTTAATATCACCCGTAATTCATAGGTAAGCTATGTATATGTACATATGTATATGTATACATATTATAAACTGTATATTGGGTTTTTCTGGTTGTGGAACGCTTAGGGTGAAGACAATATGCGTTTTTGGCTTCATTGTTTTTGATATAGGTTAGGCTATGAGGATATTTGAAGCAAAGATTATGCGAATGAATGTAGCATTGTGTATGACAATAATCTGTGAAAAAATTTCGTGAAGATATATTGTCAATCAAACAGTTTGTATGGTTCCGACAAATAAGCAGCTTCTTACGGAGAAGACATGTGAAAAAATTTATTGCAATCTCAGAAACTGAGAGACTAGTCATTTATATATACTTGTATGCTATATGTATGTAGAGTATAAGATCTCCGAAGTATAAGAAACAAATATGTAGTTAAGTAATGTATACATTGCATGTTTTCATATTTAATTTCCTCTATCTCTCTCATTGCAGATTTTTACCAAAGGAATGCTTCCCACCACGCAATGCAAATCCGGATTTTTCGCGCGACAATACTGCTCAAACTTTCACCCATCTCTTGGCTAACAGTGGTGATAGTCCAAGCGATCTGGGCAGATATTAAGGGATAGAACAGGGATAGAAACTAAGATATTTAGATTTTTTTTTTTTTGCAAAGAGCAAATTCCAATTACTATTAGTATAGTCAGAGTAAACGCTAAATTTGCACATTTTAAGACAAGCAACTTGATTGACAATAACAAAAGAGCAAACAAAAACCAAATTCATTTCATAAACCGTGTGTGCTGTAAAGTTAATAATTGTTGCATTTTATAGTTACTGTACTTTTTTTTAGCCATAATTGCGTATGTACATATGTAAATGTGTAGTGTAGGTAAACAGTTTATAATTAGAAATTAAATATGTAGCAAAAATTCCAATTATGAATTTTATTATGCCTATGTATTTAAGTCCACTTGTGTGTAAATATGTAGCAAAAATTCCAATTATGAATTTTACTATGCCTATGTATTTAAGTCCACTTGTGTGTGTGGAGTCAATGTCATTGTATAACAGTAAAACTATACCGGTGTAATTCGTTCAATTTTTGGGCAAATAAGTAAAAAAATGAAAAGTAAACAAAAGACAAGAAAGAAAAGTTTCCAGTACCAAGTGGGCAGTTGTGGCTGAAGTCTCTAAAGTCGATATAATAGACAAGAACTATAAAAGTAAATGTAAATATTAAAGAACGATAGGCGAATGAAATAAAAAATGTATTCTATTTTTTCTTGTATTACAATAATGTAAATATTAAAAAAGAACGATAAGGTCACAAAAATTAACTATATTTGTTCCACTTATATGTTACACTAATTTTTAAAATTGTGCACAAAATACTTAAAAATCGATTACTTAGTTAATTTATAAAGACCTATTTACACTAGAAAATATACATTACAAATTTGGAAATCAAGAGCAATAAATTAATACTATCAACATCAAAATGTTGTTATTATATTATATAAAAACAAAGCTGATTGGATGATCGGTTTTTGGACCTCAATGTTTTCTGGGATATTAATTCGTTGTTTTTTCCATAATTAGTGTTATTAGGTGTATCCCAAAAATATAATTTAGACAGCATTTAATAGACTTATAATATACAGCAAATTATGAAGTAATTGGACAATAAATTAGCATATAAAAACGCAAATATACATACATAAAAAATACAAATATACATAAAAACAAATAAAAAAAAAACATTACCAAAAAAATGTCTTGTAAATTTAGTAGCATTTTCGTAATCCTATTCACACCTCAATCTATGTACGTAATTTCTTTGAGTCAGATTGAAAATCATTAAATACTTATGTAGTATGTATATTATAGTCGCAAATAAATTTATTATAGTCTCAAATGAAAAATTATCATAATCAATAAGATATACAATATGCATAAATGCAATTGCGGGCCAATTATGAACGTCTGTGATAACGCTTGGTATCTGCTTTACAACTTAATATGTAAATAAAATGTCAAAACAAAAATTAAATAAAAATCATAAATATAATATTTTGAAACATAATACTTTTTTGCCTTTAATTTGATTTGAAAAGGGTAGGATAATATTTTTATTTTAAGTTTCTTGTTGTTATACTTTCCTGCAGTAATTTGGAGGAATGCTGCCAAGTTGACAATCTTCTGCCGGATAAAAATCCGGGTATGTTCCGGTTATGTAGACCCGAATGTTTTGGGGACGTTTTGGATTTGTGAAACAAAACGGTAACAAAAATTATTATTATTATTATTACTTTCTTCCCCCAACTACCTCAAATAATCCAGGGATGGCAGACACGCGAACAAAACTAATGTAATAGACAAAAAAAAAAAAAAATACAACATCTACGTCCTATACTTCTTACACTAGCAGCATATTATCAAAACATGTTTTCTTGTATAACATACATATTTATTTTTTTATGGTCTTTTTAAAATAGAATATAATTTTTTATATTCTAAATTATTGCGCGACAGCATAAAATATACCTTTTTATTATCACTAAAATAACTACAATAATACTTTATCTAGGTATAAATCTACTGTTATGATTCCCGCGACGAATTTAAATAACAAAAATTAAATAAATTTAGAATAATTGAAAATAATTACCTCTTAAGGTGACCGGATCAACCCAACACCGCTTTTGTTTTTAGTCTAAACATTTGCTAGTTTCTAAACATTTTCGTTCATAATACCTTATTGGTAAATTGGATTTCAATCTTTTTTTCTTATACTCAAGAATTTTCGTGAGGTTTGAAAAATAATGGTTGTTATTAATATTGTCGCAACCGCTATGTATGTATTGTAGACATGCATTTGCGCTAACATATTGCATTTAGAGACAGCGTAGGACGAGCCGCTAAAAGAAGTCTTTGGTGTGAGAAAAAAGTTAACAAAGTTGAAAACTATTTGATTTCAAAGATGTACTATATTTCATATTTTCGTACCAGCAAAAAGCTCGGCTCTATTTTATTGCGCCAGCTGAAAGAGGCTACTGTGTATTCTTCTATGCCAAAACGATTTATATTCAAGCAATAATGATGGCTGTGGCCAGCGAAGGCAACTCGCGGCGTTAGGAGTTTGCCTGAAACATACATATGTAAAGTTGTGAAATAGAAATGTTTATAGTTGCATAAGTATAGAAAAATTGTAAAATGATCGCGCACCTATTAAATCTGTGGATTCTTTTGAGAGCACCTCCCAATTTTCGCGAAAGAACTCAATGCTTGGTGCATCATGTTCTACACAAACGGCATCCGATTTTCTATAGGTGGGAAAATGTTGCATCAAAATCGGACGATTGTAGGTTTTGTGTTTTTGTAGGACTTCATTATCTTCGCAGCGATCTTTATTTTTGAGACATTTTAGTTTTTCTGTAGTAAAATTATTTAAAAAAAGCATATAAAAAATATGGGTTCTGCACTTATGTATATACATATATAATTTACCAGATATACTATTTAAATCACGCAGTGCCGCATTACAAAAACCACAACCATCATTTTGCATTGCCATAGAATTAATCATAATGAAATGATTTCCTTTAATTGTATAAATTTCTACACCTGTGTTGTTAAAATGTTTGGAAAAGCGTTTAATGAAACTTCTATCCATCCTGAAAGGTAAATTTGTATATGAGTGCGTGTATTAGAATACAATTTTTATCACTTACTTATAATGGAAACCAATGTCATGATTGCCCACAGCACTAATAATGGACACATTACTTGGTGTCTTAAAAATACGATGAAAGCGCTCCACATATTGTTCGAAATCATCACTATTTACAAAATCCCCCTCATCGAAGAGATCACCCAACACAAAAACAACATCAGGTTCGAAGAGATGCATAGAGGCCTTAATTATCATAATGCAATTAAATAAATTATTTTCTTTTAGTTATGCAATTTACCTGAAAACTCCGATGCATATGCCATTCCCTGTATAATCTGTCTAGCCAGTGGCCATGAATGGGACCAATTAGATGGGTGTCTGCAATTATCATGGCTTTTAATTCATTTTTCAGTTTTAGGCTTTTGGTTTTAAAAGTTGGCCACCGACACCGCGAAAGTTGTAAAAAGTCCGCCAAAAATTCGCAATACAAGAATGTCAAAAATGTTATAGAAGAAATTGTCAAAATATACATTTTTGCGGTTTTTTTAATTGCACTCTTTATAAGCAATGAAAAGAAGCTATCTAAAAACAAACATAATTGCACTGTCGGTGAAAATTAACGAAAAAAAAAAATTGTCAAAAGGGAAACAAAAAAATAATATTTACGAAAGGTGTTAAGAAATAAATGAAAATAGAAAGAGGGCGTGGAACACCGAATAAACGAAACGGAATTTTTCTGAACCTGGCAGCACTGACTTAACGAAACGCCACTTTTATCGTAACTGACAGTTCAGTATAATTCTGTATAACCTCCAACAACGAAGTGTAATTTTGTGACGATTAAAGTGCGTTTGCTAGTGAACGTTGTTAAGTTTTTAATAAAACAAATAGATTAACTTATATTAAATATTTGGTGCGTATTACAAAGTATGTATTGAGTAATTTTTGAATATATTTTAAGTGGTACGCGGCTGAATATAGTATAAATTTGTATAACTAATTAAACATATTTGCTGAAGAATATGGTGGCGTGGAGAAAGTGTAGCAATGGCGGTTTGCATGCCTGAAAATTGAAAGAATCGCTTGCACAATATAAATATAAATATATCCAAAAGTGTTATAACGTTTAAGTGCAGGGCCCTGATATCCGAATTTAGACTATAAGAAAGGTCACTGAGATTATGGTGATAGGCGTACGCATAACTTAGAACAGGGGGATTTAGTACAGTCGCCGTGACGAGAATAGAAAATCGGCGCGTAAGTTTTTTTTTGTAAGGGGTCACGTTCTACCGAGGCTGCCAGACTTAACGTGATATTGTGAAATTTTGTTTGGTATTCGTTAAATAACTAGCGTATTTGTTTACATACAAGAATACTAAAAATAGAAATTTTGGAATTTGAGTTTTATGTAAGATTTGCTGTTTTATATATAATATTAATTTAGTAGTTTTCTATTTAATGTAATATTAACAAAAATAAAATAAACATGCAACTTTTTAATCGAAATAAATAATTCTGTATGTGCTTGAAAAACAATTATACATTTATATTTATGTACCATATTTTTTGTGTATATAACAAGCTAAGCAATCACATTTCTAGAAACCACGGGTCGCGGAAATCGTTTAATTGGCAACTCTCATTACAAGCTTTATGTATAGAGGAGTGTTTAACATGTACCCATAGTACCGGCAAAATATTTAATGTACGAATAGATGAATGTGTAAACTTGAATATATCTATTTACATATACATCTGTACATGCCTATATATTGATTTTCAAATTTTAGATTGCAGATCAAGAATTGTAAACGATGGCTACTAAATCGAAACGCGCCGGAACCGCCACACCCCAACCGCAGCCGGGTGGAACATCAACCCCAATAATTCCTGGTGCTAATCGCTCTGCCAGCCCATTAAGTCCTACGCGACATTCGCGTCTACAAGAAAAGGCCGAGTTGCAGAATCTTAATGATCGTTTGGCTTGCTACATTGATCGTGTACGTAATTTGGAAACTGAAAATGCCCGCCTCTCAATTGAGGTTCAAACGACGCGTGATACTGTCACCCGTGAGGCTACCAATATCAAATCGATGTATGAAAACGAATTGAGTGATGCGAGACGTTTGCTGGATGAAACTGCACGCGAAAAGGCCAAATTAGAAATCGATACTAAGCGTCTGTGGGATGAAAATGAGGAGCTGAAGGCTAAATTAGATAAGAAAACAAAAGATTGTACTTTCGCCGAAGGTATGTACAAGTCATAAATTTATCTATGTAGTAACTGTAGCAACTCATTTCTGCTTATCAGTATGAGCTTTTGTGTTTGGGCGCTACTACTTAATTAATATGTTGAACGACTAATGGAATGTCCATATTAAAATATTTTGTTAAATTTTAGGAAATGCCCGCATGTATGAGTCACGCGCTGCTGATTTGAGTAATAAGTATAGTGCTGCTAATGCAGATCGCAAAAAGGCTGTCGATGAATTGAATGAGGCTGTCAAAGAGGTGGAACGCTTGCGCAAACAATTAGACGAGGCTCGCAAACTCTTGGAAGAAGAGACATTAGCACGCGTCGATCTAGAGAATAATGTACAAAGTCTACGAGAAGAGTTGACATTCAAAGACCAGATACACGTACAGGAAATGAATGAAACACGCACCCGTCGCCAGGTGGAAATAAGTGAAATAGACGGACGTTTGGTCGAACAATACGAAGCCAAATTGCAACAATCGCTACAAGAATTGCGTGAACAATATGAGGGTCAAATGCGCGCTAATCGGGAAGAGATTGAGTTGTTGTATGAACAGAAAATGAAAAATCTACAATCGGCAGCCAATCGCAATTCCAATGCAGCTGCAAACGCTATCGAAGAATTGCGGACAACACGTACACGCATAGATGCGCTAAACTCGCGCATCGGCGAGTTGGAGTCGACCAATGCAGCGTTAACGGCACGCATACGCGAGTTGGAGCAATTGTTGGATCGCGAACGTGCACGTCACAATGCCGATATATCGAATTTAGAGGCAGAATTACAGCGCTTGCGCGATGAAATGGCACAACAATTGCAGGAGTATCAAGATTTAATGGATATTAAGGTAAGCAGTTTTTTCATATTTGGAGATAAATGCTAAGATTTAAGCCCTAACAGGTATCGCTAGATTTGGAAATTGCCGCTTACGACAAACTGCTATGTGGCGAAGAGTCACGTCTCAACATCACACCACATTCGTCCACTACATCCGGTTCGTTCAGCCAAAGTTTACGCGGTACACGCGCTACTCCCATACGCAAGACACCATCACGTGGCGCTTCCACAGTTCCACTGAAAAGAAAACGCACCGTGGTCGATGAGTCCGAGGACCTGAGTCAATCTGAATATTTTGTAACTGGCAGCGCCAAAGGCGATATTGAAATTGCCGATGTCGATGCGGAGGGCAAATACGTGAAATTGCACAATAAAGGTAATAAGGAGGTACAAATCGGCGGTTGGCAACTGATACGTACAGCAGGTAGTAATGAAACCGCATTCAAGTTTCATCGTACCGTCAAAGTAGATGCCGGTGCAGTGATAACTGTATGGTCTTCCGATGCTGGTGCGACACACGAACCGCCAGCAAATATTGTGATGAAAACACAAAAATGGTTCGTTGGCGACAATATGAAGACATCACTGTTCAATGGTGATGGTGAGGAAGTGGCCGGCTCAGAACGCGTCAAACGCACAATTGTGAAGCACGCATCACGTCATCGCTCCTATGGCAGCCGTTTGGGCGTATCAACAGTGGATGGTGCCGGCAATGAGGAACTATATCATCAGCAAGGTGATCCGCAGCAGGGAGATGAAAAGTGTCGTTTAATGTAAACATGTAGGTGTGCAGAACAAATTAACTCCTAATATATAAAATTACTACAAAAGATTACTATATATATATTATATTTTTAATGTTCTTTAACTGGTTGAAAAACATTTCAAAAGTAAAGGCTTCAAGCGAGCGCAGACCAAGAATTAGAAAATAATAAAAAATAACAACAACAATCGCATCCATGTCTAACCGAAAAACTCGTGCAGCAGCACACAAGTGCATACATAGATGCATATGCAATTAAATTCACATACAGACACTCATATACATGCAGCCACGCGTGTCACGTGCGCTGACGCTAAAAATTACTCAACTCTGCTTGCCACCATTTATATGATTGGAATTTTCAAATATAGCTGCCGCTTCTTAATTTCTCTCATAACTACATACATACATACATATATTTCTATATTTTTTTTTAACATTATGCTATCGCCAGCCTAGTTTAATTGCGCTAATTGTAACAGTTTTTTTTTGTTACACACACATACATATGTATATAGTATATTTGAATGACTTTGAAATATTGTGGCATTAATTTTGAACAATTTAAGCTTGCAAAAAAATAAAGGCTTGAAAGAAATATACAAGAACGTGCAGTGTTGTCTTAACAGAAAGAAAAAAAATATTTATATATTTCATATCTGCGTGTGTGTGTGTATTAGCGTTCACAATAATTCGAACGGAATCATAAAATCAATCAAAGAGTACAAGGAAAGCGCACATGCTTTCCTGCCATAATTACTAACAGTATAAATTTAGTTTTTTTTCTTGCTTTAAAAATGTACAAATTTATGGTTATAGTTTCTGGAAGTTTGGAACTCTGAGGTACAAAAACAAAATAGACACACAAAACAAAAAAGACTCGAAAATTTCCCAACAACCTATGTAATACATGTTTTTTTCTTTGAAAGAAACAAAAAAACTAATATTAACTGCATATTTTAATACTTAAAATCGAGCAGAAAACTTTGTAAGGTGAACGAAGTTTGAACTGGCGAAAAAATACACAATATGAGCTAGCTAAAAGAATCAGGTATTTAATGGCGTCTAATATGTGTAGCATTTGTAAAATTGAAGCGCTATGCATGTAAGACATCATTGACTTACAGAGAAGAGCCGCTTCTGCAAGCGACCAATAATAATTTATTTTTTGTAAAAAAACTGAAAAAAAATTTAATTTCTTGCAATATATTAGCGGCTTCAAGCGTCTACGTCTGCGTTTCTGACGCAGTTAATTAAATTTGTAAATTAATTACTTTTCAAAATTAAAGCAACAAATAAATATTTTTTCATAAATAAATTACCATACCATTTTACCAAAAGAAAAAAGAAAAGGAAAGAAGAAAAGAAAACCATCATCAAAGAAGTGAAAAAAAAAAACGGTTTGCACTTTCGTTTTGAAAGTTCTACGCGCTTTTAGGATATTCCGAAAAGTTCAACAAAACATATATTGTTCCCTTAACAATAACGGTTTACATTATTACGTCTATGTTTTAGAATTAAACAAAGTAATTTAATTTAAATATATTCAATTTAAATATTATAATTGACTTTATGGCCATTCAATAATTTTATAATATGCAAAATGCGTTCCGACTTGTATTTGCAAATATAAATTTATACAAATTTTTTACAACAATTAAAATTTCTGTTTCTCCCTGTGTTCGTATAAAAAAAAAAAAAAAAAATACAAAAATGTCAATCAATATTTTAATAAAAGAAAATATAAAAAAAACATGTTTTTATTTATTGCTACGGAGTATAACAAGCTAATTTTAGACAACTATTTGGGGCTGACGAATAGAAGTAAGTTTGAATCCAGAAAAAAAGCAAAGATATGTTTATGCCGTTACAATAAGATGTTTGAATTTAGACACGAGGTGCATGCGCCGAGTTGACGATGTGTATGGGCGTAAAACATGCTCTAAGTAGTAACTATGTGTTATATATTTATTTCTAATATCTTTCATATCTTAACTTTACAATGTTGTTATTATAGCAGCAGAATTCTATCGAGTTAACAATCCTTGACCGGATAGAAAATTCAGGTCCGTTCCAATTACGTAGACCCGACGTTTGTGGGAATGGTTAACTTTACAAGCAAGCTAACTCTCAGTTGTAGACCGAAATTTCATAGTTGAAAGTGAATTTATAGGACCAGAGCTACTACTTTCCTTACCTTTTGTAAGTTCTATATTTAAAAAAATGTGGTGAGCTCATAATCTTAATAAGGGTTAATGACCGAATTTTTGGCGAAAACTTTGTCTCCACGAACTCAACGTTCAACATAACCATAAGAGTTTTTTGTTTGTTTAAGGACTGCCTTTTCGACAGCTTTCTATAAATGTATTCAGAAACGGACAACGAAACAAAGTTTTAGTATCTAGCGATTTTTTTTCGTGGGTATTGTGAGTAATTACATTCTAGAGATAAAAGAGAGGTATTTTATCGCCTATCAGTTGGTTGAAGAACAAAACGATAATAGCACAAATTTTGAGGTAACCTCTGTTTCCCACATGTTAGACTTTGCTTACCACATGCAAGACCCTTATATCTATATAAATATGAGAGTATTTACATATATAGTTTGGCGCTCATATTAGGGATATCGAGTGCTTAACCGAAATATTAGAAGAACTCATTGTAAGCCGATAAAAATGTCGGAACAAAAACATGATAATGTAAAAGTTTTCTTTTTCCTTCGTCAAGACTCTCTTCGATTCCTTCAACTTGTGATCCGATGCTCTTATTTAACGGATTACGATAAGAATTAGCTTGCTGGCAAAATATTTCACTCTAATGAGGAAGGTTCGTAAGAAACGTCTATTTGAATGTCTCAAAGGTCCACATTATCGAAAGCCAAATATTAGATTATGTTATATACAGGGTTTGTGCGGAAAGTAATAGAACTGATTTTTTGGATTTCGGAGCAAGCACGCACCAACTGGATTCGGTAGAGGGCGTTCATAGCTAGCGAACGAGCGGCTGGTCAATTGTCTTCGAACACCTGGAGACTCAGGACAAACATTTTCGCGCGACGTGTTTCTGTGAATAGTGCAAGCCGAAAATGCAGCGTTCGTTAGAGCAGAGTTACACGATTAAATTTTGTGTGAAACTCGGTAATTCTGTGACAGAGACGTTTGATATGATCAAACAAGCTTATCCAGACGCTGCTTTAGCAAAAAGTGGTGTGTTTCGGTTGCACCAGGCCTTTTTGATCAAGGCCGTTCTGGGCGACCAGCGAATTCGACAAATACCGACAATGTGACTCGTGTGCGCAAAGTTTTGAACTCAGACCGTTGACTAAGTATTCGTTTAATTGTTCAAATGTTAAATTTATCAAAATCTATGGTTCATGACATTGTGATGGAGCACTTGAACATGCGTAAGGTGTGCGCGAAGATGGTCCCAAAGCCATGAAAAATTTAACCCCAATTTTTGAATAACGTATTCACAGGTGACGAGACATAGGTCTTTAAGTATGATCGCGAGACAACGACAAGCATTTTGAGACGATAGAGGGGATTCAAGCAGCATGCACTTCGGATCTAACGGCTATTCCGGAGAACGTCTTCCGTAACGCCTTCAATGCTTGGAATTCGCGCTGGCAGCCCTACATCGACGCAGAAGGAGCCTATTTCGAAAGTTTTTAAAGAATTGTAACGATTGTTACAATAAATCCTATTACTTTCCGGACAAACCCTGTATGTTTGAATTGAATATTTAATTTTTAATATGAAAAAAATTGTTGAAAAAAGGCTGTTTTTGTTGGATAGTGCAAAATATGTGCTTTATTTCTAAACAATTAAATACTCTGAAATGTTTTACTGAGTTCCACTAAATAAGTTATTAATTTTGATTATTAATAATTAATGGATACGATCACCCTAGTGGTACCTACATATATACATACATACAAAAGTATATAGTAGAAAAATATAATTTAGTTGCCGGTTGCTTTGCGATGGCATATTTATATAATATATAGATATGTATGTATGTATGTAAGCTTACTGCATTCGGTAAGTTTGTTAAGCTTCGATGCCAATCGGCTTTTAGAGTACAATTTGTGTTCGCACTGAGCACAACAGTGGTAAAGAGTGCGGTTATTAAAATTTTAGAACAAATAAAAACAATAAACTTGTTTTGCAACTCATAAAAAACATCTAAGCAGTAGAGTGCAATTAAAATTGCGAAAATTTAGTTTGAAAATTTCTCGAAAACAAGCCAAAAGTGTTCATTTCGAAGAAACGAAACCTGCTATAGACATAAATACCATATACTGCCGTGTATCTACGTCTATAAAAAGTACGTAGTGCTAACAACAATAATAAATAATAAATACATAATAATAATAAATACATAAGTATAGTACATAAGTATGCACATATGTATACTAAATTTGTAAGCGAAAAATGGTAAAAAACAGTCTGGAATCGTCAAAAAAAAAAAAACAAATTTGTCTTCACAGTGCGTTAATATGTACAAAGTACATGTGTACATATATAAGTATATATACATTTATTCATGTACGTATGTAAATGCGACGTCCAGTTGTCATCACCAGCTGGCGTTTTTTGCTTGTGAGTTGTCTGTGACATTCTACAACGGAAAAGGTCAATTACCTTGACGCTCTTTACTTACAAAGTATAACAAATATACATACATATGTATGTGTGTATGTGCGCACGCACATTAATTTATTCAAGTACATAAATTATTATCGTGTATCAATGAGGGCATTATTGATAACAGCGAAAAAACTCGTGTATTTCTGTTTTTTAACTCCTTTTTTTATTAAAATTTATTATTTCCACAGCATCGGCTATGCATTGAAATAATCGCGAAGGAATATATGTATGTATGTATATGTACACATACATATGCATATAATATTTTTTGTTTACACGCGAGAAACTGCAAATATGCATTTATGTTTATATACATGAAAATATATGTACATACATATGTATATACTATTTTAATACTTATGTACATATGTATGTAAAAGTATCTCTGAGCTTATCATTTGCCGAACCATCCTTCCCACCGCCAACCACTTGTAGCTGGCGGTTTCGCTCTTGGCTTTGTGCATATGAGAATTTACTTTGCATTCTGCAAATGTTGTTGTGGAGTGAATGCCTGAAATCAAAGCTGCCATATCAATCAACAAGTGTTGATTAATAAAAACAATAAAATTTCGGTAAATTTAAGCCTATTTTTCACTAAAATATTGCAGCTTTGTTTCAAACTTTACTCAAAGTGTGAAAAAATGTTGTTGTTATAGCGGCAGAATTCTGCCGATTTGACAGCCCCTGACCAGATAAAAAATTCTGGATCCGTTTCGGGTTACGTAGACATGACTGTCGTAAGAACAAGAAAAAATCGTTGACTTCGCTGGCAACGGGGCTATATGTATACTTTTTATGGGTGAGGTTCCTATAGCATAAAAACGTATAAAAAGATCTTTATGTTAATTTTGTTCGGTCAGTTTTTATGACTTCTATATGCCGCACTTTTTAAAACTTTTGAAATAAAAAAGTTTTCTCTACAAGGAATAGCTTTTGATCGATATTTTTTTTTTTGCAGCTATATCTTATAATTGTCCGATATCAGCGGTTCCAACAAATAAACAGCATCTTTGGGAAACTGAGTGACTCATACTCTACCATTATATACGACTATAATCCGTAGCCATTCCCAAGACAGTCGCGTTATAGTAACCGGAATGGCCTCCGATTTTTTTCCGACCAAGGACTGTCAACAGCATTCCTCGAAATTACTTTAACAGTATTTACTGACGTTASAACAACAATAAAAACAGCAATAATAACGGGTAATCCGAGTAGAGGTACGTTTTTTAAACAGATTACGCGTTAGTTGTGACAAGCTGTTATGTTAGTTTTGTTCGGTATTGTTTGGCAATTTATCATGGAAGGACTTAAGCCTGAAGAACGTTTACAAATCATTCAACTTTCTTACGAAAATTCTCGTTCTGTTTAGACTGTATTTCGCTTAACTTATGGTGAACATAATCGGTCTGCCTGAGAGTACTATTCGCAATACCATCACTCATTTTGAGACTGAGCATTGTATGAGTGTGTTCACGAAGTCCGTGAGAGTCGATTCGGTGTCGTTTGCAGCAACTCGGACTGACGTATGGAAGGACATGGGGCATTTTACGTCGACTTCTTAAATTGAAAGAGTACAAAATACAGCTTGTGCAAGAACTGACGCCGCTCGACATTGCCAAGCGACATCGCCCCACTCTATGGGTTTTGAAAAGTTGGAAGAAGATCCGACATTTTCGAACCAAATTTTATTCAACGATAAGGCTGCTTTCTGGCTCAATCGGTATGTACACAAGCAAAACCGCCGCATTTGGGATGAGGAGCAACATGAAGAGATTCCAGAGCTACCATTTTTTCCCGAAAAAGCAAAGGTTTGGAGAGGTTTGTGGCCCCGAGGAATCAACGGCCCATATTTCCTCAAAAATGATGTCGGTGAGAACGTAACCGTCAATGGCGACCGTTATCGCTGATAACCGACTATTTGAACCTGACCCTGAAGCTCGTCATCTCGACGACATTTGGTTTCAATAAAACGGCGCCACTTACCACACATTACATGAATCAATGGATTTATTGAGAGAACACTTTGGTGAACAGATAATTTCACGTTTTAGGCCGACCGACTTGACACCAAGACAGTGTTATATCAAACCGTTAAACTTTTTTCTGTGAGAATATGTAAATTCTAAAGTCTATGCGGACAACCTCTTTTCGATTCAGTCCTTGGAGCAAAACATCACGCGTGTCATTCGGCAGTTACGAGTCGAAATAATCGAGCGAGTCATCGAAAATTGGACTCAACCGATGGACCATCTAAAACGGAGATGAAAGAGAAAAGCTTCAAAAAATAAATGCCAAAGAATGCTCTTTCAAATGATAATAAACAGTCCCTATTAAATTTGAAGTTTCTGTGTTTTCCTTTACAAAAGTAGGGACCCTCGAAATGGATCACCCTTTAGAAATATATGTATTTGTGTTTATTGTGAAAACTTTTGTTGATATTCGCCCACTTTCTAGCGTTTTTCAAACGCTTCAAAATAAACGTAAGCTATTTCATGACGACTTCTGTTTAGAAGCATTTCCAAGTGCACAATTTTCAAACTCGAGTTCAGGAAATGTATTTTCTGTTTTTGTTTATATAATTTTTGAGAACAGTGTTGCCACAACGTTACTTTTAGCGTTACTATTATTTGATTATAAAATTTATTAATCATTCTCTTATTTACAGTAACTTAAGATGAAATTAGTGATCTTGGATACTGCCGACTCAGTTGGAGTTTGGGCTGCCAAATATGTGATGAAACGTATTAATGACTTTAAGCCCGGCCCAAACAAGTAAGTATTTTGATAAATTATTTGACTAACTTGCATATACTAATACTAAAAGAGAAGTTAAAATTAACAAAGGATAAACGATAGAGTCAAAGCAATACCACTATCGAATCATAGGGTCCTTCCGTAAAAACATTAATGATGGATTTGCAAGCAGAGGGGGTTGACAATAATTATTTATTATTTTGAAACAAAGAGGTCTCAAACTAAATTTTTTTTACACGGTTGGATATTTAGTCTATATCAACAGACCAAATTCCACGTTAAGTGAACTTCTTTGTGATAAAAAGTTTCAATAAAAATAGTATAGAAACGGGACAAGGAACTAATAAGTATACGTTTGATTTTTCAAATTACAGATACTTCGTTTTGGGTCTACCCACCGGAAGCACACCACTTGGTATGTATAAAAAACTGATTGAATTCCACAAAGCCGGCAAAGTCTCCTTCGAGTTTGTGAAAACGTTCAATATGGACGAATACGTAGGTGAGTAAACCTACATAAATGAGCTTAGAAATTTGTAACTAATTTTGCTATATTTTTCGAAGGCATACCACGTGATCACCCCGAAAGTTATCACTACTTCATGTGGAACAATTTCTTCAAACACATCAATATCGATCCTAAGAATGCGCACATTTTAGACGGCAATGCTAAGGACTTACTTGCCGAATGCCAACAATTCGAGACAATGATTCGCGAGGCGGGTGGAGTGGAGCTCTTCATCGGTGGTATCGGACCGGATGGACATATAGCCTTTAATGAACCTGGCAGTTCGTTGGTATCACGTACACGTGTGAAAACATTGGCACAGGACACATTAGAGGCAAATGCGCGTTTCTTCGATAACGACATGAGTAAGGTGCCCAAACAGGCGCTAACGGTGGGTGTCGGTACCGTCATGGATTCGAAGGAAGTGATGATATTGATTACGGGTGCGCACAAAGCATTCGCCTTGTACAAGGCGATCGAGGAGGGTGTAAATCATATGTGGACAGTGAGTGCCTTCCAGCAACATCCCAATACGTTGATGCTTTGCGACGAGGATGCCACGCTGGAGTTGAGGGTTAAGACGGTGAAGTACTTTAAGGTAAAATATTGAATACAATACACATACATTCATAATGCATAAATTTTTGTATATATGTATATACACGTATGGTTTGACGGTATTATAGAATGACTCAGCGTTGCTGATCTTAAGTATCTGCAGCTCTGGTGTTTAAATTAAGATGTTTATTTCTATTTGCTTGAAATGGGGAAAACTGGTTTGGTGTTGGTTCTCTTTTTTACAAATAATGGTGTCTGGTAAAAAAAAAAATCTTCTAAATCATTAAAGGTAGTTAGTATTAGTTTTTTGAGGCTTGTAAAATGCTTTTTAACATATCAATCTCGTTGAGATCACATTTTTTATACGAAATACCAAAATATAATAGTGAATCTGTATAGTAATCAAATAGTCGCAAGTTGCTACTAATTTTTAACAGTTATGTTTTCTAGTTACAAAATATATTCAAAATTTTTACACATGTGTATGTATATTTTCAATATACCAGGGTATTCTCCGAGATGTACATGAAAAAATGATTGGAGAGGAAGCTGAATTAAACGTGCAATGAATTGATCCAGCTAATAATTGATCCTCAAATATTATGGTTTCCATGTGTATGTATTTTCTTTAAAATCTACTAATTTTGAGTTACTGGAATTATGAAAGATTTATCAATTGTCATAAAGAAGGTTCCCTTTAACGTAAAAATTTAACAGCGAAGTCTACCATTTTACACTGACATCTCAATATCCTGGTTAGGCACTTACATATATATATATAAATAGGATAGAGTACTTATACCAAAGTTAATGCCGAGCGGCTGCTAAAGATTTTAAACTAGAGCAGAAAATTTCTACCGTACCCCGTTTAGTAAGAGTTTATTGATATTTTCTCAAAATAATTAGTTGACAATTTATTATTTTTAAGCATTAGTTATAAGGCCGAGAATTTTATACAATACTTAGAGTTTTAAGAAAATTCATCAACTACCTGGCTGTCTTCGTATCGAAAAGTCACCACCCAGATCGATTATGTTGTGATAGACAGAAGACACGTCTCCAGTGTTTTAGGCGTGCTTACGCTCCGAGGTCTCTGGACCACTATCTGGTTGCAGTCAAGATACGCACCCGCCCTGGGCAGCAAAAAACGCACGTCAAAAAACACAATGAAGGTTCGATGTCGAGAAGATGCAACCACAACAGACAGCCGAATGATTTTCTATTCGACGTGGACTCCTATTCTCTCAGAGCACTCGTCAGCAACTCGATATAAGGGAATCATTGGTTTTCGACAAATGCAAAAGAATAGCTGGCACGATGAGGAGGAGTGCCGTGTCGCAGTGGAGAGAAATCAGACTGCCTACTTCGCAACGTTACAATCGATCACAACACGGGCGGGAGGGATAGAAACCGTGAGTTGAAGAGGGAAGCGAAACGCATTTGTAGAAAAAAAAGAGAGGCCGAAATGCGTGAGTACGAAAAGTAGACTCTGGCAAGCTGGCGAAAGGGGTAATGCTCGAAAATTCTACGAAAAGATGCGGCGACTAACAAAAGGTTTTAAGAATGTTGAATAGCAGTGAAAAACCAGAAGGTGTTGAACCCGATTCCCCAGTCGATGACGATAGAGTGGACGTTCCATTACTCGACCATGAAGAGGTTCGAAAAACAATTACCCCTCTGAAGACTAACAAAGCGGCGAGGCCGATAGATTTTTGCCCGAGCTTTTTAAATATGGAAACAAAGAACTGATAAAGAGAATGCATCCACCTATATGAGGGAGACCCCACAATATGTGCCGTGGAATAATCTTTTTCAACATCGCATATAAGATCCTATCGAGAGTTCCTGGTTGATTGGCGAAGCCAGAGAAAATAATCTAGAGATGTTAAATCGCATGATCTTGTGAATCATTTCTCAAAATTAACGAGTCGCCAAACTTAGCAACAATGTGTCCATGTTCAGACGTGTATCATTATTGGGGACGCCATTGCGTTTTCTGAACTAAACGAGGGTTAGGTACTCTTCAATAGCATTTTTTTTTTTTTGACGAACCCATTAAGGCAATGGATCGGACAAATACGTAAATGAACTGTCATCCCTATTGGTAGACGCTTTAAAGTAATATAGTGGATACATATGTTATGATTTTTCGGATGCTTTGTAAAGTTGAGACTTTTGATAGGCTTTTAGAATTCTGATCAAAACATTCATAAAACCTAGGGCTTATAAATAGATCTGCAATTGAAATTATGATGTAACCAGCCTACACTCGACTATCACAGAATCCCTCATATACGGTTAATTTCAGATTATTGCTAAAAAAATTAAAAATTGAAAAAGTTGGAGACAATACACTAAGACCCCATTCGATCTCAGCGTTTACACCATTCTAAATTTATATAAAATATATATAAATATGTATATAAAGCAAAATATAAATATATCTCTATAACAAAACATTTATTTTTTTCCTACAGGGCCTAATGGAGCTGCATGGGAAAATGGTCGAAGGGGTTTAGTACTTTACAAAAAGTTTTGATAACATTTTTGATACAATTCCGGAAGAATTTAACTCAGCGAAACATTAGTTAGTATATACAAATTAATTTGTAATCATATTACAATAAATAATAAAAAATATCTAAAATAAAAAGAATACATGTGATGCAGGACTTACTTTGAATTTTTTGTATACCCTAGGTTTGGCGAAAACTAAATAAATGGTAATGCACCATTTCATTACTGTGTGTACTGTGTATCTTGCATCAATGTGGATTTTGAGATTCAAAACCTCTAATTAGATCAATTTCAGAATAAGTACGGCGAGGTGTGATCCATTTCGAGGTTCTTCACTTTATTTATCTTTTTTTTTTTAAGTTATCTCATTCAAGTGTTGGCCGCGGCTACGTCTCAGATGGTCCATCCGTTCAGTCCAGTTTTCGATAATTCGATCGAGCATTTAGCCTGGTAACAGGCGAATGACATGCGTGATGTCTAAATCGAAGCGTTATAGTTCCTACTGCAAAAAGTCTAACTGTGTGATATAGTCGGTTACGTTCTCATTGGCATCATTTTTGAAGAAATATGAACCGATGATTATACAAACCACTCCAAGCCGTTGTTTTTTCTGGATGTTATTGAATCTTTTCGTCACGAATTTGCTAATTTCGCTTGTTTACATACCCATTGAGCCAGGAATGGGTCTCATCGTTGAAGAAAATTTGTTTCCAATCTTCTTCGAACTTTTCAAAAGCTCATAGAGCGAAGCGATGTCGCTTGGGAAGGTCGAGCGGTTTTAGTTCTTGCAGAAACTGTATTTTGTACGTTTTTAATTTAAGATCTCGACCTAAATTGCACCAATTCGTTCCATACGTCAGTCCGATTTGCTGCGAACGGCGCCGAATCAACTCTTGGTCTTCGTGTACACTCTCAGGTACGAATATAATTCAATAATGTATGCTGAGTTTCAAGATGGGTGATGGTGTTGCAAATAGTACGCTTAGTAGGTCGAATATGTTGAACATAGGTTGAGCGAAGAGCGCGAAACACATTCTTTACGTGAATTTTCGTTGAATGATTTGTAAAGGTTCTTCAGTCGTAAATTGTTTCAGGATGAAATGCCAAGCAATACTGACCAAAAGTTACATTGCATGTCCGAAGAAGATTATTGAAGAAAGTACATCTACTTGGCTCACCCTTTATAATAATTGTACATAATAAGAGTTCTGTGACTGTTTGGTCCTTCTCCAGGTAGGCGATATAGATCGAATCTTATGAAACCCAGAAAACGGTAATCATCACCGTTCTGGCCCCTAGAATAGAACTTGCCTTCTTCGGTCGTTTCATCGAGAGTGAGCAAATGTCCCACCTTTAGCGTAGACATCTCATTCCCAATATCTCATACATCATACATGTATGGGTCACATACACTCATTCAATTGGTGATTTGCCAATATGAGGTCGGCGACTTTTGCCACGTTATCCTATGTGGTAATAAAGAATTTTTTTGGGTTCCCATTGAAGAAGAACATTCAACGTCCAAGTACTCTTTAAGTTTACTGCGCAATTTTTTTCCAAAACTAGCATAGAATCACGGACCTATGTTACTATTGCTATCCGCAGACGCGCCTTCCCTCACACGCGGTCAAAACAAAATTACATGACCCGACGGTGCGGCTAAGCAGTTATTAATCGTGCTTGTCAGTCAAATTTAGGTTTAAAACCCCCTTCCGGTTTTATAGCTGTAAACAGTTTACTGCCTGGTTGTAGTAATTCAATACGCTTTTACTCAGCTGTTGATGTTGCCTAGTTCCTGTGACGAACTGTGTAAAGTACAACGCCCTCCGAACAAAAAAAATAAAAAAACAAAAAAAAAAACGTTAACTTCAGTTGCTCCGAAGCTAAATACCCTTCACAGGTGCATTTCTTTAAGTAATTATGTGTTCAGTTTGTATGGAAGCTATATGCTATAGTAATCCGATCTGAAAATTTTTTTCGGAGATTATATTATTACCTTAAGCAGTAATCCATGTCAAATTTCGTGAAGATACCACTTTAAATGTGAAAGTTTTCCATACATGAACTTGATTCCGATTGTTCAGTTTGTATGGCAGATATAGTCAACCGATTTGAACAATTTCTTCGGAGACTATATTTTTGCTTTAGAAAATAACCTGTGCCAACTTTTATGGAAATACATTGTGAAATGTGCAAATTTTCCATTCAAGAACTTGATTCCGATTGTTTAGTTTGTATGGCAGCTATATGTTATAGTGGTTCGACAAATGAGCAGCTTCTTGAAGAGAAAATGACGTTTGCAAAATTTCAAAACGATATCTTAAAAATTGAGGGACTAGTTCGTATATATACAGACAGACGGGCAGACAGACCGACATCGCTAAATCGACTCAGCTCGACATACTGATCATTTATATATACTTTACAGGGGACAAACTTAATATACCCTGTTCAGGGTATAAAAACATAAAAAGGACAGCAAGGAGCGCGTTTAATGTTGTTTGTCAACATTGCATCATTTCACCTGATTCACGATATACAGCTGACTTGAACGCTGGAACGGTTGAGCAAAACGAAAAGCACGTAAAAGGCGGCGTAAAGAAAAAACCGGCACTGAGAAAACAACAACACTGTTGGTGTAAAAGGCGCGCGTCCGCCACATTGTTTGACCGTTAAATAATTAAATTGTAAATCCCGGCGGATGGCAGATTGATCGATTTGTATGCAATGCGCTATAAGTGGGTGTTGTTTGACTTTTCGCAGGCAATGTAGCGAATTTTCGATAGAATGCATTTCGGTGGGCATGTCATTGGCCGAGTTACAAAAGGACAGGCAGAAGCGATACTAGGACAGTATTAAATATTTAATTAACGCGATGGACAAAAAGATTACTAAATGCGGTAATGAGTTCGTAGACTTTTGAAATAAAAAGTGAAACAACTTAATACAACAAAATTAGTTTTTTTTGTTAGTAAAACAAGTGTTGAGTGTATGTAAACACTTACATTTGCTGTAATCATACTTAACATGCATTAAATTGTAATACAGATTA